TACACACGCACACACGCACACACGCACACACATACACACACACACACACACACACACACACACACACACACACACACACACACACACACACACACACACACACACACACACACACACACACACACACACAGAGACACACACACACACACGGAGACACACACACACACACACACAACACACACACACACACACACACACACACACACACACACACACACACACACACACACACACACACACACACACACACACACACACACACACACACACACACACACACACACACACACACACACACACACACACACACACACACACACACACACACACACACACACACACACACACACACAGACACACACACACACACACACACGGAGACACACACACACACACACACACACCCGTGCACCCGCGACTGTTACAATGAAGGCTCGATAATCAGCTTAGGACATATAGGGGTAAGCAGGGGTAAAGTGCAATTTGGTGGGGAGTGGACCTAATATCGTCAAGGGGGGTCCTCACTTCCTCTAGGGGGGTCCGGGGGCATGCCCCCCCGGGAATATATATTTTTAAATATTGAAGTTAAAAGCATCACTTTGTGAGCAACATGAAGAGATCTATGGAAACATCTCTCAGCACCCAGATGAAACAGAACTGGAAACAGATTTACTTTTTCTTTATGGACATTTTACAAATCACTCCCCTTTCAAACTGTATTCTTGTTTTACTGTCATAGTATTTAATACCTGTTTTTAATTTATTCTCTTGTTTTTTTATAACTATAATGATCATATAAACGTGTGCCTCGGAAATGATCTTTTACACAATTCGTGACCAAACTGTTTTGAGACCCACTGAGATAACTCACCAATCACCAATCAATAATAAAATGTGTATTCATATACAGGGCCGATGTGATGTCATGTGATTCACAGAAAGTAACACCAGGATGTTTGTCAGAAAAATATATTTATACTCAACAAGTCTCTCAAACATTTAAAATACATTATTATTATTATTATTATTATCAGTGCCTTTTTCTCTCAAACCTCCAATTTCTGTCATTATTTCTCCCAAAACAGATTTTTCTGCAACATTTTTCAGATTTTTTGGAAACATTTCTGTAGAAATTAGAGAAAGAGAAAAGTTGCACAAATACAAACCGTCAGAAGTTCATGTTTTTTGTTAAAAAAATACATTTAAATTTAAAAGTCTCTCAAACTGTTTAAATACACAATTATTGTCAGTGGTGGAAGAAGTACCCAACATCACAAGTTTAAGACCTTCAACGTGTAAGTTAAGTTAGAGTACACTAAGCTACTTAAATATCAAAAGTGAAAGTACTCGGTATGCAGAACACCGTCTTATTATTAAAAAGTATTATATTACCCAGATTTTATCAATAAAAACTGCTTCTTAATGTAGTAGTTTGTCAATGTGGAGCCAATTTGAACACATAACTGAATCATATTCACACATCAGGGGTTTTCTGTAATTAAAAAGCAACTGAATGTTAAATAAATTAAGTAAAAAGTAGAATATTTGCCTCTGAAATGTAGTGGAGTAGACGTAAACAGTTGGATTAGATGAAAATACACAAGTAAAGTACAAAATATGTCAAAACAATAGTAAAGTACTGCAGTAAGTACTTTCCACAGTGGCTATTATTCCAGTAAATTGAGAATAACACTGCATTACAGGCGGATCAATGCTGGAGCTCCATGCATTTCTGAGTCTGAAAAGTGGTGGTGTAGAAGTATGGAGTTGCAATAAATGGAAATACACAAGGATATTACAAAATATGTAAACAAAATAACTTAAATGGACTTCCACCATTTTGCAGTAAATTGAGATTAACATTGAACCTCAGAGTTTAAAGTCTTTTCTCTCTCAGGACATCGGGGAACAAATCATTTCTGCAGGAAACTATATATAAAAAAGGTTATTTTAAAGTCATTTGGTTCCGCTGGTCCTCCCCCACGTGTCCTCATTAAATCCCCTCTGATTCTCCTCTGGTCCCCGGCTGCTCTTCCCGGTGTCTCCCGGTGTTCCCCCCGGTGTTCCCCCCGATTTGTCCCCATGTTTGCGGCTCTTCTCCGGTTCTCCCTCCTCCTCCTCCTGCAGCAGCTCGCTCAGGGTCTCGATGTAAATCTGCGCCATCTGCAGGGTCTCGGATTTGGACAGTTTCCTTTGGTTCTGGAGCTCCGGGATGACGCTCCGCAGCCGGTCGAAGGCCACATTCAGGCCGAGCATCCTCCTCCTTTCCCGGGCATTGGCAGCGACACGCCTCCGCCTCTGCGCCCGCTCCACGGAGCTCCTTTCCGGCTGGAGAAAGCGCAGCGCCGCGGTGTCCAGGAGCTCCACGATACCGCACGGAGCTTCTCTGAGATCACAGCCGCGATTGGAGCTCCCTAACCCGGGTAAGTCCTGCTGGAAAAGACCCTGGACCTGGAACTCCGAGAAGCTTTTACTGGGAGGCATCGCTTCACTTCGGGGTAAAACTTGCAGCAGAAGTTCAGGAAAGTTAACTTTGTCCACTTGGATATTTTTTGGGGGGGATTTATGGAGGCTTTATGGGGGCGTGGAGATGGTCGTGTGCCGCCTAATGAACAGAGCCAAAGGATCCAGCGGGGGGCCATTAACTGAGTTCATCAAAAGGGGATTAGAAGCGACTGAGTGACCGCTGAGGAGGAAGAGGAGGAGGAGGGGGGTAACATGAACCTCAGAACAGCTTTACTTTAAAGGGCTCCTATTATACTATTTTCAGGCATATTTTATGGGTCTCAGAAATATACAAATATATAAAAAAAACATGTCTCTGAAGTGTTTTGCTCGAAATACCAAACGGATCAGCCTCACCCCCCTCTATTTCAGCTGTTACTAAAGAGCTGATTCTGGGTCTAAAGCTTTAAAAAATAATAATAAAAGAGAGTAGATCTCATCAGGAGAACTCTCCCAGCAGAAACTCAGCTAAACGCTGCCGTGATGAAACTCCACGTCTCATGCGACACACCAGAGACACACCGCGGGGACACACCGGGGACACACCGCGGGGACACACCGGGGACATACCGCGGGGACACACCGGGGACACACCGCGGGGACACACCGGGGACACACCAGAGACACACCGCGGGGACACACCGGGGACATACCGTGGACACGGGGGACACACTGGGGACACGTGGTGATGTAGAGAAGACATCACAAAGTGACTTTTGCATGATAGGAGACCTTTACTAAGAGTATCATTACAAAGCAACTTTCTCACTAATACAAAGTGTATTTGACTCGTGTTTGTTTCCCTGAAGTTGTTTCAAAGTTTAGAAAATAATCAAATATGCTGAAAAACAACAAAATGAAAATGTTAATATGAGACGTCTCGCTGCGTATTCATGTGCTGAAATGTCTCGGAGACAAAACCCTCCAAAAACGTTGTTTGCATTGAACCTCCCTCAGTTCTCTGCTCGAAGCATCGCTCACATATTCAGAGACGGCAGAGCGGGAAAGTTCATTATTTATAAAACATTATTTTGCATTTATGAATAATACATTTTGATTTAAAGTCTTAAAGTTTGATTTACACTTGTTTGTGGTTCACAGAATTGATTTGATACTTTATGGTGATTTCTTTATTTTGTTCACATTTTTATTCTAACTTTTTTATTTGTTTTTATTTATTCTTAATCATTTATTTCACTTTGGGGAAAGTTCAGTTCAGCGTTCTGCAGACCTTTCATTCTTTAAAAAAATGATTTGTGGATCAGGACCCCGTCCTCTACAGGTTGTTGTTGTTATTTGTTTACTAACTCTATCCTCCCATCTCTTCTTGTTGCTATTTGTTTACTAACTGTTGTCTCTTGTTATTTGTTTACTAACTGTTGTCTCTTGTTGACATTTGATCTCTCAACTCTTCTTGTTGCTATTTGTGGACTAACTCTGTCCTCTCCTCCTCTTGTTTACTAACTCTCATCTCTTGTTGTTGCTATTTGTTTACTAACTCATCTCTTATTGTTGATATTTGTTTACCAACTCTCATCTCTTGTTGTTGCTATTTGTTTACTAACTGTTGTCTCTTGTTCTTGCTATTTGTTTACTAACCCTCGTCTCTTGTTGTTGCTATTTGTTACTC